AAGTTATTCTACCACTATAGACTGAATTGATGCTACAGCCTACAGATAATCCTAAGTCTATACAAAAATAAGGAGTCTTGTCATTTTATATTTTATAAAATACAAAATTATTATTTTAAATTAATATTTAATATCTAAAGGGCTATTCGGCTATAGACAATAATAATATTATTTTAATTTGCATATATAATTATGAATTATTATGCCGAGCCTAAAAAAATRTAAATGTTTTGAGTGTTATCAAAATATTATCACAATCATATTGTAATCTATTATCTGGAAGCATCCGGACAAAGTATAAACAAAAATAGTGCTGATAAGCAAACACAAACGCAAAAAATAAAATTAATATAAAATTTTGTACTGGCAAATACGAAAGAAATTAATTCTTATAATATAATGTCGTTAAATATTACAGGTTCATAATGAATGCACCTAGTCCGGAAGTAGATGTGTTTATTAGTAACTACACGATCGTCGATCCAGACGTATACCATCTGTGGGTGAATGGATATTCCGGTAAACATTACCTACTTGATAATTTTATAATAATTGATAATATACCAGGTATGTGACTAATTAAATGTTACTGAATGGTTTTGTAATTGATTTTTTAAGCATCGGAAGCAGTATCCATTCTGAAACAGTATGGTATACTGGAGGAAATGGGCACTACACTTGACTTGGTTGCATCTGACATATTAGATCATTACAGGACTTATAGTTTACTAGAAAAAATAATCCATTATCCAACAAAGTTAGATCAACAGCTGGCATTTCAAATCGAGCCACAAACAAAACACATATTAGTRGAAAAGTATTTATTATTTTAGTTATATGACAAATATTAGTTTCATAAATTTACACTATATACCTATATATTGCATGTAATATAWATTTCCATCGTGGATACTTATATATCCACCATATATTGTTTTTTTTTCAAATTTTTATAAATTAATCAGTAGTTATCTATTCGTGCTTTTAATATAGAGTTTGTCTAACAATTGGATATAATATTAATTATTGTAACCTATCAATCAATCTACAATTATTTTATTAAGGTATTATGAAATAGATGATATAGTAGTTCGAGAATTTCTTGGAAAAAAATTATCATCAAAACATCGTAAGGATTTGGATGAAGTTAGTGAAAAAACAAGCATCGCTATAAAATCTTGCAGGTTTGTGTTAATTAATCATCAGAAACATAAATGATAAAAACTAAAAATATTTGTTAAAAAAAAAAACAGTACCTAAATGTAATTTTAATTTTAGACGTCAATTTGACAATGTCAAAAGAGTTTTTAAAGCTGTTGAAGAACTTCAAGGTTCTGTTATCCAAAATATTTCTAGCATATTTTTACTATCAGAAGATCTGGCCAAGTAAAAAATTATAAAACTGATGTTTTAATTACTAATTTGCAAGTGTTTAATCAATTGTTATGTTAATATTTTATTAGGAAGTATGGAGTAATTGTTTTCATAGCTTGTATGCGTTTTGAAACGTCAAAACGTAAATTACAAATGTTAACATTTCCTGATTTTTATGAACCAACTMTATGTATTATGAACAAGTGGACTTATCCTAAAAGTAGTCCAGAGTTTGGAGACACTGATTTGGATCGAGAGTTTTTGCTTGAATTAAGAGAAGTTAGAGTATTATTAGATAAAGAGAAGGATCACAAACAGTAAATATTATTCACTAAATACAATTTACWCAAAATGAATGAATTAAGATGACGCTATACTTGAATGTGTTTTTTCTGTCTTACACACATATAATATAGATTAAACAAGTTTACACAGTCTGAGTAAGACTCGCTCAATTTGGTTGTAGAGTAAAATTACCAATTACAAAATTGAATTGTTATAATATTCTGAGAGCGAAACGGTGCATTTTTTCAATGATTCTTGATATTATATTGTTAATAAATAGCGATAATGTCAGCATTTTAAATGAMCTTTAACTTTTCAAAATTTAAATATTTTTTAAAAAACGCATCGTCTTGCCTTTGGGAATATTATCACAATTTAATTTTGTTATGGGTATTTTTACTCTAGAATTAAAATTGAGTAAGTCCTACTCAGACTGCACAAACACTGTTACTCTATGTTGTACGTATGTAAGACGAAGAAAACACACGTGGGTGTGGCGTCCTCTTAATGTTTCTTAAAGAGTATGTAACACTATAAATAAATAACTTGTTATAAATAAATAAATTGTTAMATATTCATCACTTCACATTTTCAATTAAAAACTTTATTCTGTTTACTGATAGAATGTGGTTATTTCACGCGTACGACTGGAGCCAAATAAAGGGGATTTGGATGGTTATAGCAGAATAAGAAATGTATTGGATTGTGCGTAACCACATTCTTTCGGCAAATGGAGTATAGAGTAAAATATTTATATTTAATTAAAMAAGTAACATTATTTTATTGTTGTATGTTTAAAAGTTTTAATTTTTTTCTAAATTAAAATTCTAGACTTACAAGAAGCAACTATTGAGCACACTCTTAATTTTACATGGGATAATGGCTATGGTTCTATATTATGTATACTACTAGAGCATAAATCACCTCAATATGCATTCTACCATTAAAAATCAACTAATGTTGATATTTTATTTAAATTTAATTAATATAAAAGAATAATTTTAAATCCATATCATTTTTAATATTGCCACTAAAATATATTTTCATTAAAATTTAGTGACATATGACTTGGTCAATTCACTCTAATTTCACAAAACTAAACGTGATCTTCTTAGCGTAAGATTAGTTATGATACACTCTTGTAAGATGGAGACAACACATGTGAGGATAACGGATAACGTCCTCTTAAAACATCAAAAAGTCATAATATAAAAAATTTTGTTCTGAAAATATTTCATATTTTCAATCCATGACAACACAAAACAATTAATGTTTTGTTTCCTTAGCATATCATTTGATCAACCAAAATAAATATGAAAACCATACGAATTTATGTCATAATTTATTATATCTAAATCTCTTCGATTCATTAAATCTATAAGTTTACTTTTCAAATTTAAATTATAAGTTATAACATACAATAAAACCGATAAAAGATTATTTATATCCTATTTTTCTTTTTTCTAATTCTTTACTTGCAGATTGTAGTGAAAGAATACAGTAAATGATATTTGAACATGGTCATTAGTTTTGATATTCTCAATATCTATAACTGATATAGTGTTTAACATAAAAAAAAAGAACTTGTTTTTATTTGATACTAATTTTCTTCTAATTAATAGGTTTTTGAAAATTTGTTTCTTTTTATATTAAAATTATTGTTTTTAATCTGTCTTTTTAGTATTGTATGTCAAAAATTAAAGCCAGAGTTTCTTGAAAAAACATATAATAGTATGGAAGTTAATTTTCGTATGCTGAGTAGAGCTATAATAGGAATAGCCTATAATCTTCACCACAATAGAGAMCTAAGGTAATTTTCAAAATTAAACTTTAGTTTACATTAAATGTTTATGATCAGTTATTATATATTTTTAAAATTTTACTATAGAGGATTTTTCCTGGAAGTAGTAGAAAAAATTGTTGATCCATGGAGAATACTTGGTTGGAACAAAATAGATGTTATGAATTTCCTTAAAGTATATGTCAACTGTGCAATAGAATTAGATATATTCCAGTAAGTAAAATATTTTGAACTTAGCTGAATATTTCATCTACAAAACCACTGTAAAAAGTATTGTATATAATTGAAATACAGTACAACTCGCTTAAGACGCTCTTTAAGGGACCAGCTCTCTAGAATGTCTTAAGCGGGAAAGCGTCTTATGCGGGAATGAAACAAAATGATGTGGTTGAAATATYGAGTTTATTTTTTTATTATTAAACATAATTTAATGAGAAATACACTTATAAATTAATTATAATTACAATATACATACATACTTATATTTTTGAGCTACTGAATTTAATTTAAAAAAATATTATTATTACACTATTACTTTTTCAAAATGTTGAGTTTGTCCGAAATCGATAGCGCTTTAYGTTTTATACCACTAGCCATAACGAAATTACGGTTATACACATGCGAACGAACAGCACTTATTAAATCTCATAACACGATGAAATACAGTGAAACTGTTGTAATAAGTAATGATAAAATAGGTATAGCGATAAAATAAAACGATAAGAACACGTATAATACTAAAAATTCTATTTTTATTTTCACAAAACTACTAAAATTTATTGTAATCTGCTGAAAAAAAGAGCGTTTCACCCGATTAGACAGAGAAAAACTGAGCGTCTTAACAGGTGATTTTTACATTGACTAGTATAGGAAATGTCTAGGGACCGACTAAAAACAGCGTCTTATGTGGGAAAGCGTCTTAAGCGAGAGCGTCTTAAGCAAGTTTTACTGTATAAGATTATATTATTATGGGTGGATTTATTTGACACTTTATGATATGTATGAATATTTATTTTATATTTACTATTTTACCTATGCTTCAAATTGTATTTAGACACTGTGAGTTAWAACTAGGGAACAGATTTATATGTAATAAAAATATAGAAAAATGTACATATTTATGGAAGTATAATTTATAAAATATGTAATAAAAACATCCAAATATGTGGGGGAAAAAATTAATTTAAAAAAAATACAATTATAATTATTAAATTATCAAAATGATTTGTTGCGTTACAATTTCTTTTAAATTGTAGAGTGTTAAATATCATCTATTAGGTCTCAAAATATTTTTAAAAAGGTTAAATGATCATTCCATATCAACCGATGTAAATGGAGCATATTTTAAGTGCATAATATCATAAGGCGATAATATTGGCAATATATTCGACCTATTGGTCTGCTTACGAGTTTTAATTTGTGTAGGTACGTATAATTACGATTACAGCCAAACACTAACTATAAAAATATATTGCTACTGCCTGTCATCAATTGTCAATCGTATATACCTAAATGAATACTATATTAAGATATCTATTATATGATATATTAAGATTATAAGATAATGAGTATAAAACTAATGATAACTAAAAAATATCAACAATATACTGATTAATGACTATTTTTGTCTACTGCAATATATGGCTTGAGAATGCACGAATGATAAAATAATAAAATATGATTAAAAATATTTAAAAATTAGTGAAATATGTAAAAATATGTAAGATAAAAGCAGCATCATTTTAATAGGAATGATTTAWATCATGAACATTTCTTATCGAATCTTAAATATACTGTTACATATAAATCCATTCCCTAGTTGTAACTATTAAAATTAAACTTTGTTTAGAGATGCAGAAGTGAAGAAAGCTTGGGAACGGTATATGGATGTAATAACAACCAGTGTCAAACAACTCTACTAAAATACCTGATACAGTAGTACTATATTTGTAATACATTTGAAGAAAATTAAAAAAAAAAATTGTTTGTTTCATAGTATAGACTGCTGAGATAGTAATTTATAATATTACGTCAGATATTTTTTAACCTGTGTCCTTATAAACAATGKGACTGTRTTTAATATATATATATAATATTTGTTTTAGAAAAAGTTAACTATTTTTATAAGAATAAGCACATYAAACACGCCAAAATATTTGTTTTATGTTAATCGTATATGAGAGCATAAGCGTGCGCACGGGGGAGGCAGGGGAGGCGGTTGCCTCCCCTGCGAGATTTTCTTCTACACCAAAATATAATATTATACCTACCAATTGGAGAAAATCGGGTGGGGGGATTGGAGTCTGTACCTCCTTAGCTAAAGTATTGCCTCCCCTGCCAAGAATACCTACGCACGCTTAWGTATGAGAGTTTTTTTGATTGTGTATGTTATATTATTTAACTTTTGTTTTACTTAATGCTTTCATCTAAAATCTAGTAGTTATACTTGTATTGTATAAATTCACTAAAACTGTAGATTAAATTGTTATGCTAGTCTTCAGTGTAATGCGTCTGTATAATATACAATTAATATGTATATTATAGTTTCAATAAATTGTTTTGAAAATTACAAAATATTATAGTATTTAGACTTACACTTTTTGTAAATATATAMGTTTTAAATCAAAACTTTGAATCACTTCTTTTATTTATTTATACCTAGAGTATTAATGGTTAACCATAATTTATTTGGTTTTAGAAGGTAATGAATTATTTTATCAATATCTGAACATCATGAACATTCAATTTAAGTTAATGTATATACCTACAATTAATTTATGTATGAATTTAAAAAAAATACATGATAAATTCAAAACATTACAATGTTGAGTTATAATTTAATTAACGTCACATATACATTGTTGAAATATCATAATAGTTAAAAATCACATATAAAAAAAGTTTACATAGCTTTGACATACATTTTGACAATTGTTGATTATTTATAGTTGTATAATAAATATATAAATTAAAATCTAAGAGTTAATTATTAATTTGTACTTGGTTAACAGGTAAAGACAAAAATCTCACTAAATGTCATATCCATCAATAGAATTTAAAAAATGTGAATAATAGTATAAATTATTGTATAGATCTATTTACTCAGAAAATACTATAAACTAAATTTGATTATATTATARTGGTACTGGTACATTTTAATTCCTAATCTCTATAGTTATAGTTTCATAACTGAAACTCAAAAATTAAATACATTGAACATCACAAAAGTAAATATT